GTCACATGGCATGCAGGTAAATAAAATATTTTTATTCTAAATAATTTTTCTTGTTTTATTTTGAATGTAATTGACTAATTAATGAGTTAATTAATTTTTATTTTACATTTAATGATTGACCCTAATGAGTTGGCTTCTGGCCAACATATCCATAATAAATCCATAATAATGCTTCCTCAAGTGATAAAGTCCATCTTCTGTTGCCCTCTCACATAAAAATCCACCTACATATTTGTTAGAGCTGTTTTGGCTTGTAAATGTATATATTTCTCTCCTGATTCAGACAAGATGACTTTGAGAAAACAATATTATGTATGGAGGACTTGTAAGCAAACGGTTTGAAGTTAAAAATGGGTTAATGATTAATTTGTTTCTTATAAACTCAAAGCTTTTGGCTTCACAAGACGTTAACTGATGGACTGGAGTGGTGTGGATTACTTGTGGACTATTGTGATGTTTTTATCAGCTGTTTGGACTCTCATTCTGACAGCACCCTTTCACTGAAGAGGATCCACTGAGGAGCAAGTGATGGAATGCTAACTCTCCAAATCTGTTCATATGAAAAAACAAACTTATCTACATCATGGATGACCTGAGGGTGAGTAAATATTCGGCAAATGCTCATTTTTGTGTGAACTATTCCTTTAAACGGAAATGTTACGCCCCTTACCATATTGTGATGCTGTGTCCCAGCCGGAGGGACGAGACAAAAACATGAAAACCCATTATAAACGAGGATTTCGTTGTATCCAGTGGGGACATAATTATGGATTATAATGACTTATACTGTCTTTTTACACATTGCGTTGCATCGCGCCGCATAAACATAAAACCATGTCTGCATTTGTGATCGGAGAAATGTGACGTAGATATGTGGGGGCGTGTTGGAATGAGCCATTTTAGGTAGGCGTGGCTGACTCTTAACTTTTATAAAGAATATCTCTTTGGATTTGAGACTTTAGTCTTTGCAACTTTACAGATCTTCTTTATGCACCAAGAGCTTGTAACACTCCAAAGAGAAAGGAAAAATTGAAATCACATCATATGACCCCTTTAATGAAACAAATTCTGAGAAGTTGTTACAAGTAGTGTGAGTAAACTCTGTGTTTAGTTAATGTGATACATACAAAATTACTGGACCATTCAAAACAAGTCAAGATATATCACAAAACAGGCTCTTTCCCCGCAACACTGACAGGAGTTGCTAAATGTTACTAGACACGTGTGAACTTGTAAACCCACCCCGATTTTCCTCCTATAACATTTACATAGACTGCTATTCTGAACACACTTGTGTTTTATAAATATCTGGAGGCAGCTGAATAAGATTAGAATATCAGTTCTGATATAATAATTATAAGAGAAAACTACAAGATTATATAGAAGTGTGCAGTGGCTTTTGTTATGAATGTGTGTGGGTGTCAGTTCACCCAGCAATGAACATTTTGCCATCATTTATTCACTCATAAGTATTTCTTTGTTCTTTGGAACATATAAATAGAGCCGTTTCTTCTTTGTGTTCCACAGAAGAAAGTCACACATACTATAACAACATGATGATGTTAAATGTAATAGATGTAGAATTTAGAAAATTCATAATCATTTCTGTCTCCACAAAACATTGCCAAACTCTTGTCACAATGTTTGCGTTTCTCAATTCTGTCCACTGTGCTATAAGATATGCGATAAGACTTCGCAATATAAAACAATAGGAATGTTCATCTGTGGGTGTGTGAGAGACACTGACAGACTAGTTCTGTTTTTTTCTTCGTTAGCTTTTACCTTTAAGCATCCTGGTGAGAAAGATTATTTTTTCACAGTTAAATAACAACACCTGTTTTATGGTAAATGCATAGTTGAATTTGAATATTTGGAATTGGTTTTATGTTGGTGATGTGAAATCGAAACAAAAAAGCTTATGGCATCTACTTCTGCTGATTTATTATGTAATTATTAGAGTAATTACACATTACACAAAAAACACATTCCTTAAAGCCACAAACAAACAAAGTATTTGCATATAACAAAAGTGTTTTGACTAGTTTGTTGCTCTTTTTTTTTTTTTTTACAGTTTCTATGAATAGTTGGTTAATCAATTTCTGTTAAATAATTAAGGGTTTCCTTTTAAGAAGCCCTTCCCTTTACCATAGCTCATTCAGGTGCTGTTGGTTTATTCACATTAGTCATGCATATAGTTTTAAATGTTAGCTTTCTGTGTGAGATCCTGTACTTTGAAACAGAAAAATATTTTCACTTCTGATTTAGAATTTGATCTGCGATCAAGTTCACGGAAGTTAAATTACAGAAAGTGTGTTAACTCAATCATCAAATTCTCATTTGCATTTACTCAAACCCAAATGTTAACAGCGATTTTTTGAAGATTTTTTAATAGAACTAATAGAGAAATAGAGCTGGGGGAAAAGGATAAGGCAAACATTTAAAAAAAATAAAAAGGTTAGGCCTACATAACATACTCGGTTACTAACGTAACCTCGGTTCCTTGAGATACGGGAACGAGTACTGCGTCTGCTTAAGACGCTATGGGGAAAAGCCTTTTTTTCTCCTGAACTGAAGCCTTTTTCAATCACGCAGTGAAACTGCACGGCCATTGGTTCGTGCAGTATATAAAAAACGAACCAATGGCTCGGCAGCGGAGCCATCTGGCTATATAAGCAGGAGTTCGCCACAGGATTCTCAGGTTACTTCTACTGAAGCGACGACTAAGTCGTGCGGCTACATAGCACGGCTAGCAAAGCAGTACTAGTTCCTGTATCTAAGGGAACCGAGGTTACGTTAGTAACCGAGTACGTTCCCAGTCGATATTACACTCGTTTTACCTATTACACAATATTACACTTCTATTGCCAAGGTGTCCATAGAGGGTTGATAATATTTACAATAATATATTGGATTTGACTGTCTCTCACATTGTCCCACAGCAACATTAAAATGGTGTAGATTAGTGTACAATGTTTTATAATAATATTTTTTTTCTATTTAGTGTCCATTTCATTCAAGTTATTTGACATATTTGAAAAAAAAAATTCTAAAAAGTAACGCAATAGTTACTTTCACTGGTAATTAGTTACTTTTATAATGATGTAGGTTAACTCAGTTACTATTTGTGAGAAGTAACTAGTAACTAATAACTAATTACTTTTTTAAAGTAACATGCCCAACACTGCTTACGATGCTTTTGGGAAACGCAGCCCAGTACCATACTATAAATTCACTTGTTCCTTTTTACTTTTTTCCCTTTTTTATACCAATATCCACTGGTGGGGATCAAATAAGGACTGCTAAGAGAAAATATATAGATAATGGACTAAAAGTAGACTCCCTTAACGTGTGCTAACTTGCCCAGCCTGTTCTGTGCTCAGGAACCATGCGATGATGTGTAAAGCTGGCAGGAAAACACTTAGATAATACCCTCTGATAAAACCTGCTGTCATTATTGGAAATTAGGTGTGTCTTGAGTCTGAATATTTCTCATCATTTACTGTTCAACACCATTGCCAAAGAATACGATTAACGTTGCATTACCTAATTTCTTATTAAGCATCTCCTGTAGGCAACAACTGGATGTTTTACTTAATTAAACTAAATAATATACTACAGAATATTATAATATATAGCACTAAGCACATAAACGTTAACAAGGTGTAACCATTTATAGTTTAGCGAATATGCCTCATATGTAATAATAACAATAAAAATATTCTTAATAATAATGTTAATAATAATTGTATAATATATAATACACACACACACATACATACATATATTACACAAATAATGCTACCTATGTGCATTTTTATATTGGTCTTATCCAAAATCTAAAACAAAATTCAAAGAAACTCTTTGTTTAAAGAGTATTGACATAAATAAACAGTATTAACATCATTTAAATATTATTATTTGCTTGACACTAGAGTTTTGATGTGCAGAATACCTAATAGAAAATATTATATTTTTTAAAGACAGATATTTAAAAATATACCAGAATAAACATTAAGGTCTTTTGAAGTTGTCTTTATTTATAGTAATTAAACTCAATTAAGCAGTAATAAACAAAATGCGTTTAGTTTTATCTTTAAATATTTCTTTCTTTCTTTTTACATTTTCAACTTCCTTTATTGCGTAATGTTACTGTTTCTGTATATTTTGTCCTTTTACAACTTAATTTCACCATAAACAAAAGCTAAATTAACTTAGGGTTTGAACCAAACCATAAATATAATTTGAGGAAAAACTGATAAATTTGGCTTTTTTGGTCAAAAGTATAATTTATTTATAGTCATAATTTATATATGTTAACAAAATTAGAACAAGGGAACAAATTAGTATAACATCGCCACAATTTAACTAAAATGGAGGAAAATAATCTTAATTTGTGGCCATTATTTTTTTTTCTTGTTCTGTATATTATAAGTTCATGTAAGCTCTGTATAATTAATATTTTTCTACTGTTCATTCTTTATTCGTTTTGAAGTCATTATTCATGTCTTTCTGAATAGGGTATAAAATCTAAAAGTCTCTCCTTTTTTCTAAATGACTAGCTACATATTGCACCACATCCATTGTGTTATTATTATTGTTAACTAAAACAAAAACGATAAAACATTTTTATAACATGAAATAAAATAAACATTTAAAAAAATATATATTAAAAAAAATGTAAACTTATTTTATTTTAATTAGGTGTCTGGGTATTCTAATTTTCCTTTGAAGTTGAAGTATTAAAATGACTGAAATGAAATAAATTAAAACTAAAACTTAATAAAAAAATTACATACACATTTATTACGAAAACAAAATGACAAAACATAACAAAATACTAAAAATGTAAATACAATTAAAATGACAACATAAAATATGCAAGTAAAATCTATTTTCAAAATACTTACAAAAACTAGTAAACCCTGGCCCCAGTTATTTCTCACCGTCATTTGAATATGCCCTCCTCTCTCTCTCTCTCGCTCTCTCTCTCTCTCTCTCTCTCGTGTCACATGAGCAGCCTGGATTACTGTAAGACACAGAGGAAAGCTCAGTCTCAGTGTTGATCTGCTTCAGCATGAGGACCCTTCCTGTCAGCTTTCTCCTGCTGCTGGTGAGTTAAAGCTCTGTGTGATGTGATACACTAGAGCCGCTCGCACCGCCTCATGTTTCTCTGCTCATATTTAGGCATTTATGTTGCAGGAACTCAGTCTGTCAAACGGTATAAAGCCAGCTTTATGAACAATGGGCTACAGAAGGTTTGCTTTGCATTGAATGATTAGCTGATGTGATTGCTTGCCATGCGTCAGATAGTAAGAACTGCAAAGGAAGGGCATGTTTGAATTAGTTCTGTTGAATTTGGTTTATGTTACAGCCATTAGGGGTGTGGACGAAAGGGACTTTCATTGCTCTAAATCAGGAGTGTCCAACCCTGCTCCTGGAGAGCTACCATCCTGCAGATTTCAGCTCTAACCCCAATCAAACACACCTGAACCAATTAATCAAGGTGTTCAGGGTTGCTTGATAATTACAGACAGGTGTGCTGGAGCAGGGTTGGAACTAAAGTCTGCAGGACGGTAGCTCTCCAGGAGCAGGGTTGGACACCCCTGCTCTAAATCTTTCGGGTCATGACTCAAGAACATTAGTATGCACTTTAAGAATTGTTTGCATTGTAAGCTCATGCCTTAAGGCACCTGTCTACTCTCATATATGCTTATTATTAATAAATAATAACTAATTGTGTGAATTGAGTCAAAATGCATGGCTATATCTAATTATTGTATATAGTATTCTTTACTGCTTCATTTTTCAAGGATTGACATGGCAATAAGAATTTGTGATGGGGTTTGCAAACGTATATGTCCTCAAGCATTTGTAGAAACATAAACATTACAGAAATCACACTTGATTTATTACTGTGAATGCTGGCCAGAAAATACATATTATGTTTTCGGGAAAACGCCTAGATATTGAATTGGCAGTGGTCCTAAACTTTGAAAGTTTTGCCATCAGCAGTAACTAATTAGCTTTTGACATCATTAACCGATACTGACAACTATTCAACTTCTAAAGGATACTTTGTGTCTTATTTTCAGCAGCTGTGCTGCAGATACAGTATGTGGACTTCAATGGCATGTCAGTGTGGACTATAACCTCGGTGCTATCATTCCACGATCAAATTAAATTAGGGTTTTAGTTAGTCATACCCAGAGGTGGACGAAGTACACGACTCCATTACTTGAGTGAATGTACTGTACAGATACTGCTGGTCAAATATTACTCCCTTACAAGTGAAAGTTAAAAAAGACAGATTTTTACTTAAGTAAAAGTACAGAAGTACTTGCTTTTAAAAGTACTTAAGTACCAAAAGACATTTCCTTTTATATGTCAATGCACTGTTTTATTATTGTTGTATGTTGTACTTGCAATGCCTCTGAAGCAACTTTGCATTACACCTACTGAATACACTGACTAGCTTGTAGTATCTTTGGAATAAAGAGCTTTTAGAATGTTAAAAACCTATAGAAAAGAAACAAGTGAGTTGACAAAAAACGATTTTATTGAACACCCCATACCCACCTCTGGCAGTGTGTGCACACATCTATGTGTAGCCATTCATCCACATTTGAACAGAGTAGACAGTGAAATTGATGTAAATACTGATAAGAAAGAAAAAAACCAACCTGCTATAAAACAGTGCTGCTTATTGTGTAACACCTATTGTGCTTTGTTAGGAGGCGCACAACAGTTCTTCTGTGGCTTTTTAGGTAATATTTTCATTTACACAATTTTGCAAAATCAGCCCATTGTGTCTAATATATATATCACAATAAATTCTTCTTATTAAATTGTTGTAAATAAATATCACATTTGCAACTGGTCAGTGTGCTGGGGGGAAAAAATGCTGGGAAATCACTTGGCGTAAACCAACAAGAGTGATTACTGAAAAAAAAAAAAAAACTAAAAAAAAAAGACTTTCAAAACTGCTACGAATTTCTACTTCGAGGAACTCGACAGAAGTGAAAAGTACGATATTCACCTTTCCAAAGTAGTGAAGTTAAAGTCGTAGGTTTCCAGAAAAATAATACTCAAGTAAAGTACAGATACTCAAAAAATATACTTAAGTACATAGTAATCAAGTAAATGCACATCGTTACTGTCTACCTCTGATCATACCAAATGACACTGTGGGAAAACAAATGAGTTAATTAAAGTTAAATCATAAATAATATGCCTGTCAGACTAAATGAAGGGACTTTCACCCTGACATTATGAATAAGGAATCTTTATGCAACATTATTTATTCTCTCTTTTGGTGATAAAATCAAGTATAAACAACGGACAGTACGTCTATGCAGTGAAAACTATATTTAATTAACCTGATTATGATGATAACTGAAAATTAACTTAATTGCTTTGTCAAAATCTTCTCAGCAAAATGTTTATATTTAAAAATAATTTTTCAAAGTAATTTAGGGATCTTCATTTCAAATTTGAAACCATCTTCACTATAAAAAAAAGTTTAGTACATTATTAAAATAAGTCTTTGGTCTTTTTACTTCAAAATTTCTCACTTAATTCAATGCATTACTTGCCGTTTCTTTGTAATTGTTTATCAAATTTACTAGCAATTTTAGAGTGCAAATTAAAAGTAAATCCTACATATTGCCACAAAACCATTCAAATTTGGTTCTTTGACTTTCATATGATGTTGCCAGTTTATTTAGTTTCTGGTAGCCATTGACTTCCATAGTATTGGGGAAAAAATCAATGGCTACCATCAACCAACATTCTTCAAACTACTTTAATATTGCTTTGGATTGTTTTCATATTATTTTCATGAAAATTAAGTAAGAATTATGAGTTTTTTTTTTTGCAGTTCACATTAAATTCTATAGTGCTATAGTGCTATTTCACATATGCTTCTCTATGATATGGACATGTTATGGCCAGATTCACACATTGACTTAACTTTTGTCATTTCAACTCAGTCTGTCTGGAGCGTGTGTGTATGGGCTGACAGCGGGAGGATACGACAGAAGCGTGCATGGATCATTGATTCGTTTACTATTGAGGAAGAATACACTAGTCCGTTTCCATATAAAATAGGCAAGGTGAGCGGCATCATAACAGTCACTGCTTTCAGCTATAGAGCTCATTCAATTCAGTTCTATTTGAAGAGTATTTTTCACATTACATGTTAATTTGCTGGATAATAATGATCATGTGAACATTTTAGTGTGTATGTTGTTTGTGTTTCAGGTTGAACTCGAAAGGTCTTATTTAGTAAATTACATACTACATGGTCAGGGTGTGGATGAAGATCCAAAAAATATTCTCAGCATTGATAAATCAGGTTATATATTAGTACACGGAAAGGTGGACTATGAAAGCGACCCTAAAATTCTCCATGTAAGTTCTCCTTAAGAATGACGTATCCATTGCATAGCAGCATTGAAATTAATTCAAATACACTGCAAGAAAGGCCTGTATACTGATATTCACTGGACTCAATTGCAGTCGACATTTGAAGCAAGAAATCAATCCAATAATGAAGTGGATACAAGACTTGGGCTTGAGATCAAAATATTGGACGTAAATGACCACGCACCAAAATTTCAAATGTCAGTCTATGAAGTGACTGTGGACGAGTCACATGATCAAGGTAATCCATTATAGTTTGCACTTCACTACTTCACTATTTTATTTATGAAACAAAACACACAAAACAGAACATTCTGTCATTATTTACTTACCCTCGTGTCATTGTAGTCCACAGTGTTATTTTTTTTCTTCATAACACGAAAGTAAACATTTTTTAATTATTAGAATTACTACACATCTACACAGGCTTTTGCAATTACCATTACTATTAAAAAGATAATCAAAAATGAAAATTCTCTCATCATTTACACAGCCTCATGTGGATCCAAAAGACTTTTGATCACCTTTGAAACACCACTGATCAGGGTTGCGTTTCCCAAAAGCTTCGTAAGGCTAAGTAGATTGTAAAAATGGTCGTACGAATCATCTTAGACTTACGGTCTGTTTCCCAAAAGCATCGTAACTTAAGTAGAACTTGAAAATTGTCAAAGATCTACGAGTGCTCTGGAGTCATCGTAATTCCCTTAGTGTGTTGTAAGGAGACAGATTTATAAGGTCACCTGCAGGACATCCGGCATGTTCTTATGTATATTTCTTTATTAGTTTATATCTTTGCTTGTGTATTTGTTTGTTTAAATTAATTTAACATAAACCAATGAAATAAAAATTAAATGACTGAACACAAAATAAATTATGAAAAAGGAATAAAAAACACACTGCTGTATATTGTCACAGTGCTTTTAGGAGGAGGCGAGGAAAGCGGAGACGATGAAGAGTAACGAGGAACAGTCTTTATTTACCCACACAGGGGGTAACACGGTAGTCAGGAGAAACACACGTAGCACGTATTACTGACAGACAAAATGACGTTAACACCGGACAAAGGAAACCAGGAACAGACAACACTTTATATACAGGGCTTAACAAGGGTAATTAATGGGACACAGGTGAATCAAATGACTACTCAACGAGAGGGAAAAACTCGGTCATGGGGAGCATATGGGAGAAAATATAACAAAACAGGTCCATATTCCTGACATATCTCCCCCCTCCCAGAAGGTGCGTCCTCGCGCCGTAGAAACATCAGAGGGAGGGACGGGTGGGACCTTGGGATGAGGCTCGGGAGGAGGACGGACACACGGGAGGGGGCCAGCAGACAGAGTCTAGGGTGGTGATGAAGGAGGGAGCAGCCAGGGGAGAGACAGGAAGGACTTGGAGCATGCAACGCTAGGTGGGACCCAGGCCACAGCCGTAATGGCGACCCAAGGAGGAGCCGACGGAGGGAGGAGCCATGGAGGAGAAAGGGCTGATGACTCCAGGGGGCCGACCAATGGCGGCGGAGACGGAGAGCCGATGAGTCAGGGTGACGAGGAGGATCCGGAGGGCCAAGGGGGAACAGATGGCTCAGGTGACCGATGCGGAGGTGGGGATCTGGAAGGCCGTGGTGGAGCCGGAGTGACAGAGGACCGAGGAGCAGCCGAAGGGAAGGAGGAGCCTGACAGAGCCGGAGGGACGGAGGGACAAGGTGCAGCCGGAGGAGTGGAGTCCCGAGGCGACGGATGGACGACGACAGACCAAGGCGGAGCCGGAGGGATGAGGGAGCCCGGCGGAGCCAGTGGACTGACGGGCCACGGCAGAGAGGAGGGAGCTAGGAGCCATGGTGGAGCCGCTGGGTCGACGGGCCGAGGCGGAGTCCAGGATTCAGAGGCTGGAGGCGGAGGCAAGGGGTTCTCCAGCCATGCCGATGATGGAGACTGGCAGACCCGCGGTGCTCGCACCGAACAGATGGTGGGCTGAGGGTGAGCAGAAGGGCTGCCAGATGACAGCGGTGGTGGAGGCAGGAGCGGGAGGGCATTTTTGAGCCTCCGGGCTCTCAGGGCTGCAATCAGGAGCAAAGGCCCTCCCTGGGCCGGACTTGGGAACAGGAGCCCTCTCTGGGCCGAACTCAGGAACAGGAGCCCTCTCTGGGCTAAACTCAGGAACAGAAGCCCTCTCAGGGCCGATCTTGGGATCGGAAGCCCTCTCTCTGGGCCGAAAAATTGGGAACGGAAGCCCTCTCTGGGCCCAACTCGGGAACAGAAGCCCTCTCCGGGCCGGACTTGGGAACGGAAGCCCCCTCTGGGCTGGACTCAGGGACAGAAGCCCTCTCTGGGCTGAGCTCGGGAACAGAGTCTCTTTCTGGGCTGGACGGGGAAATAGGAGGGAGGAGAGGATCCCCTTCAGGATCAGGATCCCCTTCAGCATTCCACAGTCCCAGTTCCTCAAAAAGTTCACCCTCAGTCATGGCGCAGTGGGCTGAGCTCCTCTCTGTGCTCTCGCTGTCCACGGCTCTTTCCCTCGTGGCGGGCGTTGTAGCCAACTCTCACACCTGGACTGACGTCATAAACAGCTCCGGCTCCGCGGCGATCCTCGGCTCTGTCGCTCCATGCGGCAATGGCTCATCGGTCGCGGCGGTCTCGGGCTCTCCGTCATCGGTGGGCTCGGGCTTGGGCTTCACGCAGTGGGGTGATGGTGGGCTGGGCTCTAGGTCTGGCTGTGCTCTGGATCGGGGATAGATGCTCTCCAGCCACCGGATGATAGCTTCCCTCCAGCTCAGTCCAGTGGTGTCTGGGAGGTCGACGGGGTGGTGGTATTTTCCCCCGATCCCGAACAGGGAGTTCATAGCAGCATCGTTGAACGCCGTTAGAGCGACGAGCTGGCTGAACTCAACCACATACTCCACAAGGGGCAGGTCCTTACGGGATAGGGAGACGAACAAAGCGGCGAGGGGATCCATGGGGAAAACACGGGAATCAAAAGAAACACTGTACAAAAAAACGGAAATCAAACTGAGGGAAAACATACAGTTAAATTCTTTTGTTTGGTCCGGTGTTCTGTTACGGTGCTCCTGTGAGAAGACGAGGAACGCGGAGACGAAGGAGAGTAACGAGGTAATCCATGCTCAATTCATGGATTACTTCTACAATGTCTTATATATACTTTTTGAAATGTCAGTGTTTTGATGTAATGGACAGTCAATGTAGGGACAGAATATCTTCATATGTGTTTTGAACAAAAGCCTTATGGGTTTGGAATGACATAAGAGTAATTTTTGTGCGGACTGTGAGGAAGATTTCAATTACTTTTATTTTGGTCAGTTTCTCACGTCCATCGAATGTGTGTTTTTTGAGCTTGACAGTCACTGGCACCATAAACTGTTGTTGAACAGCATGGGCCACGTAATGATTTTAAAAATATATATTTACAGCATACGTTTCCACAGGAAGAATAACAGTATACAGGTTTGAAACAGCATTAGTGTTTATAAATAATGATGGATGTGTAAGTATTAACACTTAATTTTCTCAATATCTATCAAGGCAAAGAAGTACTGACCGTACTGGCTTCTGATGAAGATGATTCAAGTACAAACAATGGAACATTCGTTTTCACAATCAAGTCTGTCACACCAAAGACAGATAATGTTGAATTTTATATTCAGCAGCAAAAAGTATCTGGCACAATTTATTTTAAGGGGTGTTTAGACTATGAGGTATGAACTTAATTACTTTCAATGGTATTAATGCACTATTTTTGTACCTTTGATACATCTGTTATTCCATTCAGGCAACACGTTTTGCTTTTCGTGCTTTATAAATATTTCTCCTTTTCCATCTAAGAAGTGTTCTGCTAAATGAATCTTTTCCAGAAAGCTCAGAAATACACAATCCTTGTTGAAGCAAAGGACAAAGGGGAAAAGATACAGCTCTCAAGTACAAGTACACTGATAATCAATATTTCGGACAATAACAACAATCTTCCAGAGTTCTCTGGCAAAACGGTAAGTTTCATAGTGGACTGTTATTATGCTTGTGATATTCTTGATTATTGCTTTCAATGGCAAGTTAGACATACTTTCCAGTGAAACCCAATGAAATATTTGACTTATTTTAGGGACCAGGGAAGGTCAAGGAGAGAGAAACTGGGGTTGAAGTTCTGCGACTGCAAGTAACAGACAAAGACATCCGTGGTTCAAAAGCTTGGAAAGCCAAATACACAATCCACGAAGATAAAAAAGAAATATTCAAAATAGAAACAGACCCTGTTACGAATGAAGGGATTTTAACAGTCATTAAGGTAGGCAGATGGTTGATGTTTTGTTTTGCTAGCCAACCTGCCCAAAGGTTGAGTCTGTGTTGCTGATTATGATGCTCTAAAATCAGTTTACACAGAAATGCCTTGTATAGTTGCCTCTGCACAAAACACATTCTCACTCCCAACTCGTCACATATTGACGCTTGGTCAGGACCCTTTGGCATCACTTTTTGACACAAAGGGTCACTCATTTGTTTACCCCTTTCATTTTTTGACGTGCAGGGTCCTCCATTGCTTAAAATTAGAAACCTTTGGCGTCAGTATGCAGATGCGAAAGGCATTTGGAATTTTATCATCATGATTAAATTATATATTGGGTAATAATTTTGCCATTATGGTATATAGAGTATGTTGGGGTGTGATTTTTCAATGCAAACAGTCACAATTTTATTTACATTTCACTATTTACACATTTATGAGCACCCAACCCCTGCCCCTAAACCTACCATTTGTCAATAAAACACAGGATATAACAGGCAGATACAACTACAGTCACAATTTAGTCAAAAAGTATTAATATTCCAAGTCTTCCGAGGCAAAACGTTTGATTTGTGAGGTAAAAAATGAACACGATCACCGTCTCCATCCACCGTAAAGGTCAGATCCTATGTGCAGTCTTCACACAAATTAAAAAAATAAATTGCTGCCAGAAGAAGCGTCACGTCAGCTCTGGTTGTGAAATGTCATTGGCTCTTGTGTGTCTCGTGACCGATTGCATCATGCTAAAGTATGGGAGTAGGCGTGTCATGCGGCGCTGCACATACCAATTTGACGAGATGGCGTCAATGTGACCAATGGCGAGAGTTGCCACTTGCAGTCGGGGGCGGAATTGAAAGCGGAGATGTCAAGTTGGACACTTTCTACAGTAGCCCCTCACTGCAGAACACAAGATCCAGGGGGCGGGGTTGGAGCCACATCTAGGAGGTGGAGATGGTAGGTTTAGGGGTGGAGATGGGTGGGTTTAGGGATCAGGGGGTGGAGACGGGTAGGTTTAGGGATATGTCAGGTGGGAGGAGTTGGATCTGGATCCAACCACGCCCCCTTGATCTTGTGTTCTGCAGTGAGGACCATCTCACTTTCTGCTCGGTAGTGATGCTCTCACGGTGTTTGCATACTCGATCACAGATGAAGTAAATTAAATACAATATTTGTCAAATACACAGACGTATCAGAAATGTTTTCATGAGCAACAGAAACACTTTTTATTTACTGCTTAATACAGCGCCATCTGTTCAAGAATAAAGTTCAACATAAACATATACTATTTAAATGCCAGTAAAGTGGGGGTATATATGCTTTTATCAGTGTTTTTTTGATAAATGTGACTCAATATAACATTGTGACTACAGTAAAAAAGCTTTTACTGTTCTAAAATCACAGATTTGTGAGCATTATTGGAATTAGAATAAACCCGAAACACACGTCATCGTTGTCATGTGGTGAATTTGGCCAAGCATGAAACAGCTGTGTCATCATCAAAGCTCCTGCAGTCACTCTGTAAAAGCTGCGCTGGCTCTCGAAACGCTCTCACAGTACTTTGAAGCTATCCACCTTTTTCTTCAACGCGGAAGTAAGCCTATGGGCGAGACTTCCGGATCATTAACCGCTAACAACAAGAATAACAACGTGCAGTAAATGGTAAAACTGTTTGCACTACAAACCAATGTGTTCATAATTAAGATAATACATTAAAATAATATGGTAAGACACACCAATTTTCAATGTCAAGCAGCAAAAATGAACTGTTTTGTACAACTAAAATAGCTGAGACCGGAAGCTAGACCCATAGAATTTACAAATGGCCGCGCCCATTTTTACGGCAAGAAAAAGGTGGATACGTTACAGAGACGTGCCGTCGGCATTGTCTGAAGTCGGACAAAATTTCTAACCGACATGCACTGCTTCAAGTCAGCTGCCGATCGGTCTTCTTTGCAGCGCTACATGACATCAAACACACCTAGGGCCAGATTTACTAAAAAGGGCAAATTTTTGCGTGAAAGCATAGTTCCAAAACAGTGCAGATGGGCGTGGAATTTGCTGTGAGTGATTTACTGACATCGCACAAATTCTCAACATCTCATTTCCTTAATGACCAATGCAATCTACCAAGCGCAGCACAAATTACCATATGGATATGTTTGGATGCTTTTTTTGGGCGTTAAATAATGGCACAAATACCAGTAATTTGACAAGCGCAAACGTTAGTAAATCACGTTTTGTGATTCATTTTGATACTCTCTGAAAGGGAAACAAGTGCATATTCAATAAGGTCAGGTGCAGAAATAACTGTGTCCTCACTGCACGTCTTTAGTCAAATCCTGACAGTACTATTTTAATGCTAAAAGATGGTTTGTGTTGGCGCAATCTATAAGTAAATCTGGCCCCTAGTATCTTTTTGCATGGAATGTGAGTTGTTGTTTTTTTTGCATGAAATGCGATTTACTGGAGCGGAATCATTTTCAGCGATTAAAACCTACTCTGTTCTTTGCATAAAGATATCGTATGGGTTCAGACGACTTGTTTGTAATGATTTTATGCAGCTTTTTTATGATTAGTTTTTGCAATAAATACCTGTGACTGTACTTTCAGTGGGTAGGCTTAGGGTAGGGGTGGCGTGAGCTAGGTGCTCCAAAATTGATATAAAATGATTTATATTTTTACAAATGCATGCAAACCATGAAATGTGTCTTGGTCTGACGCATAAGGCAAACAACTCAAAGCAATGGAATACCCTGCACATTGAAAAGTGACCCCATCTCATGAATGTGCATTTCAATGGCACGATTTTCTGTTTCTATTTGGTGTACTATTTATATGCAAAAATCGACTTTGGCATGCATATGATATGCAATTGGTAGGTTTAGGGGTGTGGGATAAGTGCGTATTATATGTACGCCAAAATGCGTATTATATGCACACCAACAAGGTGTGTATCATATGCACGCAAAAACTGTGTATTATATGCAAGTCAAACATGTGCGTATTGAATGCACGCCAAAGTCGTAAAAAAAAATTAAAAAAAATTGTGCTATTGATACGCATTTTCATGAGACGGGGCTCAAAGTGACTCTAAAGGGGTCCTGACCAAGCATCAGTATGTGACGGATTGCTCGAATAGCAGGTATTTTGAAACAGAACAGATAAAAAAAAAACATCTCTATATACATTCATGTTGATTTTTCTCTAAACTCTCTTTATTCATTTCAGCAAACGGACTACGAGGAGCAAACAAATCACAATCTGTCCATCAGTGTGCAGAATGAAATTCCTTACTTTTCCTGTAAGATTAAAAAGAAAGTACCAAATGCCATGTGGGTGCTCGACAAAATACCCCAAGACTCTGGCATGAGTGCTGCAAACCTCTATTACAGCATTCCAGTGACCATTTATGTAGAAGATGTCAATGACCCTCCAGTGTTTATTCCCCCTGTTAAACACGTTGTGGTAATGGAGAACATAGATGTAGGAACAAGTCTTACAACCTTCACCGCTAAAGACATGGATGGAAGCCACGTAAACACATTTAAGTAAGAGAAGCTAATATTACTGTATACAGTACGTTTAACCCCAGCACTGGGTTGTATTTAACCCAGCATTTTTTAGAGTGTACTGTAGTTTATTGAAAGAAAAGTATCACATATAAACAAAGGTGAATTCATCTGGTGTTTCTTCGAATCTCAGATTTGTTAAAGGTGAAGATATTGATAAATGGATAACTATTGATGCAAAGACTGGACAAGTATCCACAATTAAAATTCTGGATAGAGAGTCACCATTTGTGATAAACGGCACCTATATAGCAACCCTGTATGCTGTGGATGAAGGTAAGACATTAAATGTACTCATTACTGATATTATCATATATATATATATATATATATATATATAGACAATTCCTTTCCTTTTATTTTCAAATTAATTTCATTTGAGATACATGCACATTTACGCTGCTTTACGAAATGACCTGTGACTCCTTGTAGCTTATATCTTAACTGATAACTAGTTTACTTACATAAAAACCTCTCAATATCTGTCTAGCTCATGATTCCGGATCATGTTTTGTACTCTAATTTCTGTTTCCTCCATGTCTCTGATCGGCAGGTGTTCCTCCGCTGACAGGCACTGGAACTCTAGTCATTCACCTGAATGATCAAAATGATAACGTACCAATACTGGAGAGGAATGCAGTCAGCATTTGCATAGATAAAGAGCCCACACTGGTCAACATCACAGCCGTAGACCTGGACTTTCCTCCATACGAATCACCTTTCTACTATGAGCTTTTAGGAGATGTTAAGGACAAATGGAGGGTTGAACCAGCTCATGGTAATGCCACCATCTACTTCACTCGGTCCAGACCACCCAACAATCTCTCTCACTGAACATCATATTTCACTTGGAAAAGACATCAGAAAAATAAAATAGGTTATTAACACCGTTGTATGCTGACTTTGGGCAAATAATGTCCTGAGCGTTCTTCCATGACCTCCTGAAGATTTCTGTGCCTACAGTACATTAACCGCCAAGAGTTTAGAATAATTAAGACTTTTTTATGTGTTTAAAAGAAAAATATTAAACAGCACAACTATTTTCAACATTGATCATAAATGTTTCTTGAGCAGCTTTGATCACAGGAATAAATGACATTTTACAATATATTCAAATAGAAAATAGTAATTTTAAAATGTAATAATATTTCACAATATTACTGTATTATTGATCAAATAAATGCAGCCTTGGTGAGTGTAAGAGACTTATTTTAAAAACAATTAAAACTCTTAATTATTCCAAACTTTTGACCCATAGTATATACTTACACTAATACGAACTCTCATTTTATCATCACTATTTTTCTCCTAAAGGCACGACGGTGAGTCTTGTAAAAGAAAAACGTGTGTATTCAGGTCATCACCTCCTGCAGATCAAAATATCAGACCAGCAGGGATTTCACTCCATCCAGAACCTGACGGTCACGGTGTGCGACTGCTCTATCACTCCCAACTGCCATGTCAGGATGCTCTCGCAGGCTCGGATGGGGCCTGTTGCCGCCTGGATGGTTGTTCTTGCAATTCTGATTCTTACAGGTGAGATGGTGATTTCCAATGTTTGGATGACATTAAGAGCACTAATAGGTGATGAAGGATTTTGCAAACTGTTTCATAATACTGAAAACCCATCCTTCTGTACAAGTCAATCTAACCATGAAGGGTGTGGTAAAACAATAAGACTTGCCATGGAAACCTGTAGAAACCTGTTTTTTGAATGACACATACACTTTTGAATTTGTTCTCTGTAAATACTGTAGTTTTGTTTTGCCACAAGGCACTTAGAATGTTTGTTTTTCTGCTTTTCTGATAAAGGAATAGAACTGAAACCCAAAAATGAAAATTTGCTGACAATTGACACCCTCAGGCCATCCACGAGATGTGGATGAGTTTGTTTGTTCTGAACAAATCTGAACATTTTATCACTTGCTCACCAATGGATCCTCTGAAGTGAATGGGTGCCGTCAGAATGTATTGGAGGAAGCAATGTTATGGATTATGGACTTTTTTTAGCATAAAGCAACAGTTAAAACATGTTAATGATGGGTTTGTTTCTTATAAACATGCATCTTTTCACTTCACAAGACATTAACTGATGGACTGGAGTCGTGTGGATTTCTTGTGGATTATTGTGATGTTTCTATCAGCTGTTTGGACTCTCATTCTGACAGCACCCATTCACTGCAGAGCATCCATTGGTGAACAAGTGATGCAATGCTACATTTCTCCAAATCCAATAAAGAAACAAACTCAAACATCTTCAGTGGCCTGAGTAAATTTTCATTCACTATTCATTTAAACACTTCAAAATGTGGTCAATGGAGCTGATAACTTTGTGGAAGTATCCAAGTTTAAAATAAATACACTCTTTTTTATATTTCAGCAATGTGCTTAATAAGTCTACTGATGTCCTGCAAGGCTAAGAAAAAAATGATTATGATGGATGATGGCCTCGGTCATCTCATCACAACAAATACGGAAAATCCAGGAACAGACTGCATGGTAATTTCCTCACACAACATACAGTAACTGTTTTTCAGTAATGTATGAATTTGTGCATTTTATTCAGTTTTATGTAACACTTATGCCAACATTATCTATAGAAGAAAGAACAATGCACACAGCATTTGTTAATGTTAAAATATAAATATGAAATGTATAATTTGACACACAAACACACACACACACTGGGGACATGGGGTAATGTCTCCATAAGTCACCTTCTCCTTGTAATACCTCTGTCATACCTTTGTCATTATACAAATTTATGTCCTCATTTGTCACAAAAATGCGCGCACACACACACACACACACACACAGAGGTTTGTTTTTGTGAAAAGTGAAAACATCCCATAGGCGTAATGGTTTTTCTACTGTACAGACCGTATATTCTATTGCCCTACACCAAACCTACCCCTCACAGGAAACTTTGTGCTATTTCAGATTTTCAATACACTCCATTCTGTGTGATTTATATGCGTTCTGAAAAGTGGGGACATGGGGTAATGTCCTGAAAAGTCACCTTCTCCTTGTAATACCTATGTCATACCCTTGTCATTATACAAATGTATGTCCTCATTTGTCACAAAAACGCGCGCGCACACACACACACACACACACACACACACACACTTGTTATTAGTGTTGTAATTAATTATTGTAATATAACAAATACTGTAAAATAGCATACATAACATTGCATTACGTTTATAGATTAAAAAATGCTGTAAACATTTTTGAGCATGGTTAGTACCTAATTCATTAATTAATAATAATAACAACCCAAACCTTAGTGTAAAGTGTAAAGTATTGATAAGTTCAGCTCATATTTATATCAAACATTAAACATTTGTTGCCTTGAATAACTTTTAATGTCAATCATGATGTCTTCATGAAGGTATCTTCCAGTATAGGTATTCACAAAACTGATTCTTCCAACGTAAACGGTATAAATGCGACTAAAAATGTAAACTCAAGCCAGAAGGTCACAACACAAACTGTGAGTAACAATAAAACTCTTCATGTTCTTTGACAGTTGGGGTAAATTAGAGCGTTCTGGGAAATAATATTTTGCTGTCAAACCAAGTTCAAAGATTTATTATTAATATCATCTATAATGTTTCTGGAAATAGCCTGTATGTTGTGTGTATGACAAATTGTTCATGAGTAAATCAAACAGAATTTTTTTTTTTATGTTTTATTTAAAAGTATTAAAAGCAGATCTTATTTCTACTTCCTTCAGTTTAAATTATGCATCCTGTTTGCTACCATGAACAGGAAAAAGATAATTTTGCTTCATGATTTCCAGGTGATGCATAAAGGACAGCAGGCCGTTTCACGGACTCCATCGTCAGTCAACAACGACCAGGCGTTCAAACGCTCGATGTACAGGGTGAGTATTACCAGCCACAGCAAGGTTTCAAAGTGTTGGTCATTTCCTTTGTTTTGTGATGGAATGTTTCTGATATGTATGTTTTTCAGAATTCCACAAGTCGTACATACAGAGGAAATTTTCAGGTAAGAATAAAATGCCAGCAATAATTCACATGATATGCTAACTGCAGCACAGCTCCAGCCTTTTTCACAACATTCTCTGTGCTTTTTTCAACCAGCAATCGAGTGTCAGATCAAGTTGTAGAAGCAATTATTCCTACAACATCAATGCATCTTACTTGGGTGAAAACCTTGCCGTTCTCATCAACCAGGTGATTTTACATTTACATTTAGTCATTTAGCAGACGCTTTTATTCAAAGCAACTTACAAATGAGGACAATAGAAGCCATCAAAACCAACAAAAAAGCAATAATATGTAAGTGCTGTGACAAGTCTCGGTTAGCCTAACGCTGTACACGTAGCAAGGTTTTTTTTATAATAAATAAAAAGAAAACAAGTATATAGAATAGACAAAGAATAGGGAACGCTAGTGTTAGAGGGTCTTTTTTTAATAAAAATAAAACTAGTCAAAAGAATAGAAAAAGAATAGAGAATGCTAGTGTTAGAGGGTCATTTTTTGTAAAAAAACAAAACAAAAAACAAGTAGATAGAATAGACAAAGAATAGGGAACACTAGTGTTAGAGGGTCTTTTTTTAATAAAAAATAAAACAAGTCAAAAGAATAGAAAAAGAATAGAGAATGCTAGTGTTAGAGGGTCATTTTTTGTAAAAAAAAACAACAACAACAAAACAAGTAGATAGAATAGACAAAGAATAGGGAACGCTAGTGTTAGAGGGTCTTTTTTTAATAAAAAATAAAACAAGTCAAAAGAATAGAAAAAGAATAGAGAATGCTAGTGTTAGAGGGTCATTTTTTGTAAAAAAAAAACAAGTAGATAGAATAGAAAAAGAATAGAGAATATTTATGCCTCTTTCAGCGTACATTACTACTCTACTGTCTACTCATTCTTTATTTATATAATTTTGTGATAAAAAGTAAGGCAGCGGCTATTTGCACTAAGTGTAAATAGCGATAGAGGCTATTTACACTATGTTGAAATAGCAGGATTTTCTGCTATTTATACTACTTATTGCGAATAGTGGCAATTATCTGCACCTCAGTATTATAGTACATTATAAAACAATATGCAGTAATGTATTGTGTAAATTATCATTTTAATTCAAATTATTAAATGGATGCCACCTTATTGGGACAATAAAGCCCTCCCTAACCCTACCCAATACTTTATTTTCAACTTTTTGATTATTTCCTTCATTTTTATTGAAAATAAATGCCTTTCCGATGTGATATGAGATTTGAAAAGGGAGAAAAAAAAAAGTTCGGCAAAAGGTGGATTCGAACCCGGGTCGATCGCGTCAAAAAGACAACGGAATGCGCTTTACTATCTACGCAAGTACAGCTAAAGACTGACAACCGTGTTTTATAGTGTTGACCATCCCTATCACACGTTTGTAGATGGAGTTAGTGTAAATAGCCTCTGCCAACAAGGCCGACTATTTGCACTTAGTGTAAATAGATACTCCGAAAAAGTAATGCCATCTAAAAAAAAAATAAAAAGTTTTAAGAACGTTGTGTTAATGTTCCCTTTAAGTTATAAAAACGTTAATTTTGAGTGATGTCCAATTTTTCAATGTTAAAAACGTTATTTATTTATTTGTTTGTTTGAACAATAAGGGAACATTCAAATTTGTTTGTTTGAACAAATTATGGGAACGTTACTTTTGTATGTTCTCTAGGCATTTTTAAAAAAAGTAGTAGGCTAACATTTAAAAAAAAAAAAAACATTAGATGAACGTCCAAATGAAATGTTTTGGTTCCACTTTATTTTGATAGTCTACTTCGTTACATAGACATTTTACTAACTACAAGTAACTTTGTAACTAAATGTCAATTAACACTCATTAGAGTATCAGTTACGGAAGGTTAGGGTTAGTAGAATAAGTTGACATGTACTTGCAAAGTTACTTAGTAGAATGTCTGTTGGGAGAGCATCAAAATAAAGTGTTGGCAGATACTATGTAGAAAGTCTGCTAATACTCCAATCAGAATCAGAATCAGAATCAGAATGAGCTTTATTGCCAGGTATGTTTACACATACGAGGAATTTGTTTTCGTGACAGAAGCTTCCACAGTGTAACAGAATGACAGTGACAGAACAAAAAAACACAGATAAAAAAAAATAAAAAAAATAGAACAAGTAAAATAAGGAATAAAAAAGCTCTCTTCCCCCGTCTGCGCGTCCTGAAGCGCTTGATCAGCGCCGCAGCTCCCCCGACTACAATGTCCAGCAAAACATCAGAATAATCAAAAACCGGTGAAATATCGGGTGGTGTGTACTTCCGAATGTCCAGCAATTCGTCTCTGGTGAAACTGATTGCAGGGATAAAACTAAAGAGAGGACAAACTAACAAAAACATATAAACAACTGCGGAGCAAGCCACGGAGGCAGCCATCAGCGTCGGCGCCATCACGAAAAAAAAAAAAAAAGACTTCTAGTTGAGTTGCAAAGTTAATTATAGTTAGTAGAACATCTAAAGTGGACATTCAAACAATAGTAAAGAGCATATAACTCTGCTAAATGAACATTTTATTAACATTACTGGAAGAAATTACCATTCTGAAAACGCTCCTTGTCAGCTGAGTAAACATTAAGAACTTTAGATCAACAGGTTTTTTAGATCATGAGAAATAAATTTGGTTAATTGTGTCCAAATGTTTGACAGGACATAAGTAAATTATTTTCATGGTACTTTTGTTTTTTTCCTTCTTCTCCTCAGAAACTACTTGCTCTCCAAACCCGTGATGAGGAATGTGGTATTTACAAACCACACTGTTACACGCATGAAGGACAACCTGCAGCCAGTGATGAACTGGATGAAATATCCATTCCTGAGGATGACTTTCATCCAGAGATGCTTAAAAATCTGGACAGCAGGTTCAGTCAGCTAGCAACAATCTCCAGACCTGACCTGATGAGATTGTGACAATTATCTCAGGCAGTGTAGCCTAAATATAAATATTTAGGACAAAATGCAAAAAAGGTCTTCAAAATCTTTACTACAGTTCTACAGTATCAATGATGATAACTATAACTCAATTTGCATTTCCTGAATGCAAAAATACAGTGCTTGCAAAGGAATAGTATTAATAGTTTTAGGTGTTCTGTTTATTTTCATTCTGTATTTTTTACACTGTTTTCATGTGGAATAATTTGCAGACATTTAATCCCAAAAAAATATGGTGGTGTAATTATTTGATGAAACCTCCTCTAAGAGTACATGGGTGGATGGTGATAGTAGAGTTTTTAGTTGTGGATAAGCGTGTTTGAAGACAATGTCTATTTTGACTGTGTCATGCAAACTCCTGACATATCTGGGTCTGTTGTTCCCCTGGGCGTGAAACTGCTCTGTTGTTTCAGGTGTTTTTAATCCTTTACTGTAAAAATGTGAAACTCTGACTTGCTTTTTAGTATGATTTGTACACTGACGTATGGGAATCGATGAATGTTTAATAAAACTTGGTGTTAATCTACTGAAGCATGACATGCTACTGTTTTATTTGTGTGTGTGTGTGTGTGTGTGTGTGTGTGTGTGTGTGTGCCGCCTGTCTCTCAACCAGTTCAACCCGTTTTTTTCTTCTTTCTTTTTTACATTTATGTTCAACACACAGCTCTTGAAATAGTTCCCTTTTACATGCCACACAGTTTCACAATAGCACTTTTTATCTCTGTCCCGCAACTTATTTCCTGCCTGTCGCTCGTAAATCTTTAATGTTTCCAAAATCTATGAATGCATAAAGGTACCATTCATCAAAAGAATCAATGAGATACATATATGAGTTACATCATGTATTTATTAAAGAGCATTGTATAACATCCATATATATATGTATATATATGTGTGTGTGTGTGTGTGTCTATATATATATGTGTGTGTGTGTGTGTGTATATATATATATATATATATATATATATGTGTGTGTGTGTGTGTGTGTGTGTTTACACACAAGTAAGTAATCAAAAAGGAGTATTTCAATATAAAATGTTTATTTACTATATAAATTTGATGGGTAAATTGTGATTTAAAACTTTTTAAAAAGTAAGAGTAACAAGTTTTCTTAGTAATCTCATATATCTCGCCTTTTTACTCTATTTACTTATTCAATAAGTTATTTTTACTCTTTCTACTTGTTTAAATGCACATGCACCAAGTCTTGATGAGGATGCTTACAAAATGATTTGCCGCATGGAAAAGAACAGATACTCAGCTTTGAAAAAAAAAAAGGAATTTTCTTGAGATACTTACCAACTATATTTATTGTAGAATAGAATAAATAGAAATTCAGAAAAAAGGGAACAAACATGACAGAGGAGGAACGTTTGAACACACATACTTTAAGGATGAAACCCACGAAGAGTTTTATACACAAGGTCCCTTCACCATGTGATGTAGTTGGTACATCGGGCTTCATATCTGCAGTGATCCAGTAACTGATCAGTCTTCGATAACTTCCAGATTTATGCTATAAATCTGACAGTGCGGCTGGAGACATCATGATGTATTACATTTATATAAAGATCTCAAAACTCGAGACAGTAACACTGTTGTGTTTCTGTGTGCCACCCACAGACTGCACACTGTAATATCTTTAAACAACATGACTACTTGCTAAAATAATTCAGTACTCTTATTTTGCACAAGTAAAAGAAATAAAATAAACAAAATAACTTGCAACCTAACAAATAACTTGTCTTTAGTGTCAGATGTTAAAATGAAATTTAAAATGAAAATTTTCTTGTTATAATTTGCATTAGCATGCTAATATATATCAATGCTTTACTTTACATCAAATATTTGTTTTTATCATTGCCTAGTCAGATCTTTCAATTTTTATATTTAGTTATTATTTATATTATATATTTATTATTTACTAACGTATTTATGTCAGTGTCACAACCACTGCAAAGGACAAAAGTTGAACCACCTTTTAGATACATTAACAGATTACAGTAATAGAGCTCAATTGGATTTTACATGAGTTTAGATTTAAATGAGGGCTCACATGAAGACTAATAGTTCATAACATGTTTCATTGTCTCATTGTCCACTGTTTGAGACCTGATAATCTTGCTAATCCATCAATGGGAGTTTCAAATCCCTCATATTTTCACAGAAGCTTACACAAGGTTTGCCTCCTAACAACATGAGTCATTGTAAAATGATAATAAAACCGTTTTGAAGAACTGATGTTGAGAAATGTTCCATTGCTACGTTCTACCCGAATGCCATTGGGGTATGTTGTAATATTTTGGGAAAATAATGACAGTATGAAAGAGGCAAAAACTGAGCCTGTGTAGTACCGTTTCATTTACATCAGTTTTAATGAGCAAACAGTCTCAAACCCAAAGAGATATTCTTTATAAAAGTTAAGACTGGTCCACGCCCTCCTAAAACGCCTCGTTTAAACACGCCCCCACATGTCTACGTCACTGTGTGGGAAGATTTGCATAACGCCGCCAACACGTGTGTGTGTTTTACAGCTCAGTTCTCTCCACTACATTGTTGTATTTTATTATTGGCTGTTGAATGATGGTGAATTTTTCATGATTGTTAACATGTCAACATGCACTTTCCATGATATTCATGATAGTTATATGTAAAGCATGCATGCTATTAAAAAGACACACTTGGTTAAAACAACTGTATTACACATTGCAAATAGGTAATCATGATATGAGGAGGTCATTGACTGTTAAAAATCAGGTGACACTGCCCTCTTGTGTTGAACAGGTGACATGACACTTTTCAATGTATTCAAAATTTAAGAAATTGCAGTGGCCACAGGCGCACATATGAGGGTTGCCCCCCCCTAATATATATATATATATATATATATATATATATAAAAAAACAAGCTGTGTATTGTAAATAATACAATGATATATACTTAAAATAATTGAATAAGTAGTAAAACAATATAAATGCAAACGAACGGGGACCAAAAAAATATATATATAATGCGTTTTGAGTGCCCATCCCTTGTCTCACAGTGGTTTGGTCCACTGCCTGCTTTCCCCCTTTACCTCACTGATACACACACCAGTCCAGTGGGAGAGAACCAAGTTCTTCAGTAGTTGTGGAACTCCAGTAGACTGTCAAGGCTATTTTATTCACTTTAAACAACGGGTGAAGTTATTTTTTTCTCTCTAATACAGATGATGCTCAGTCATGACAAAAAAATTATGATAACCAATGTATTTTTCTATGAGTCCACTATTTTAGCAATTATAATGTTAGCTTGTTCGGCAGCTTGTTTAAAACCGTAGCTTGTTGAATAGTATGTAACCAATTACAAATAACACAGCCAGGGGCATTTACGGTATGGGGGGGGCCCTAAGCAAATCTCCGGGAGGGGGCTCAGGAGAAATCGCGTTCCTTCCCCCTCGGGAGAAATCACGGGCGCCCCCTGGCTTGCGGGGCCCCACGTAATTGCATGCTTTGCGTGGTAAACGCTACTGAACACGGTGATAAGCCAATGTGTGTACTCATATTAGGCCAATATTGTAGATCTACCGCTGTGTTGGGTTTTGCTCAATATGATGTTAAATTTTTGTGTTGTTGGCCAGATAAAATGACAGGGAAAAGAAGATGGACATACGATAATTTTTCAGTGCAGCAAAATACCAAGTACAGAAAAGTCCCCATTGTACAATTTTTGCTGTATTATTTGTGTCCCCTTCAAAAATTGCTCTTGAGAAATTTTATGTTTATTGTCCCCACCTGTTCGATGAAATATACGCCCATGGGAGTGGCTAATGTTAAAGCAGGACGCCTCTCTAACAGGAAATGAAAATAAGTAATTAGTTGTTTACTGCTAAGACTCAACAAAACACCTGATTGCTGGTTTACAGTGTAATTCGAATGTGATCAACTGACATTCATTTTTAAGTTGAACCATGCCAGGTATGGAATAAAAAGATTGTTGTGTAGTTTATTGCTTGATTGTATTTATTATTCTGATTTAAACAATCTAACTTAAGCATGTTGAACTTAACTATCTCGCACGTTTTAAAAACGTCCATTTCCCGCTAACATTTGATTCTTAAACACTGCTGTTTGGCCAATGTGTTCATGCGCTCAACAGATATGACTGTGATTGGCTACAATGATTGGCTCTTCACCGAGCGCTAACACAGAAGCACACGGGAGCGTTTGAAAGCTGTGTCTATCAGCGAATCCCTAATATATCTGCACATAGACGGATCCACTGACATTTTTAGGGGAAATGGATGTTTTTAAAATTTCAGTACCGACAGGTTTAGTGTTTTGACAACACTAATTCATAATGCAGATTTCCATCTGCCTCAGAGGGGGAAGGGCCGTGTTCACGCACTTTTACAAAGTGAAAAAAAGACGAGAGACAGTTTGAAGGGCAGAACTGTATATTGATAAGCCACCCCCAGCACAGGATAGCTTTCCAAGCTTGGAGCTGGGTGGCAAGTGGTCTGAGTCTTTTTGAGTGGCAGGTCGCCACACGGGGTAGGGAACTGAAATTTGTGGTAATGTGAAGAGGAGATGTGCTCTTTTGAGTGCATGCGTGCACTATCACAACGGAAATTTGCTTGGGCACGTGCTGAGTGGGAAGGACGGGCCCAGCCTAAACAAAACTTCCATCGCCCAGAGCTAAACGAAGGGAAGCAAGTGCGAGAATTCTTTGAGGGCGATCCGGCCTCTGAAGGACCTGGCCCTCTCCTCTTCATTTCTTCATTGAGATCAAGATGGCTTCTGCGGGTCAGGGTCCAATGTCACTGTGGGGTGAGATCGTTGTTAGCGGGAAATGGATGTTTTTAAAAGCCCCTTGGACTGAAAATCAATTTAGTCAAGAGCTCTCTGTCTCCCAGTCAGCGGGTCGTCTTCCTGGGGACAGTTATCGACTTGGCCGAGATGTGGGCGTCGTTCACATTGGGGGCTTCTCACCCACTCATAGATTTCCAGAAAATGCTTGGCCTCATGACAGCCACCTCCTCTGTGATTCCGTTGGGCCTGCTTCATATCCCTGTTGAAAAAAACAGCATATGCTGGTTAGGTATGTTTTGACACTGGGATGCTGGTTTATGCTGGTCCTTTGCTGGTTTATGCTGGTCCTTTTGCTGGTTTATGCTGGTCATGTGCTGGCAAAGGACCAGCATAAACCAGCAAAGGACCAGCTTAAACCAGCAAAGGACCAGTT